GGGGGGCGGGAGCTGACACCCCCACCCCGTGTCACCCCCTCACCCTGTGTCTCCCCACAGGCCATGGAGCAGCCAGAGGAGCAGCCCGACGGTGATGGGGGGATGGCACCCAGCACCCACAGAGGTGAGCCCAGCCGGGGAGGGGATACAGGGGGGCACCGCAAAGCATCATGGGACAGTGGAGGGGTCCAATGCTGACCAAAGCAGGTCCATCTCATCCAGGTTCCTCACGGCTCCTCCCAGTGAAGTCTGAGGACCCCCAAGTATGGAGGCCCACCACCCCGTCCAGCTCCATCCCACAGAGGTTCAGGGACCTCTGAGGGGTCCCTGCTCCAACCCAACCCCACCCCAGGTCCATCCCTGACCTCCGTGTTCCTCCTGGCCACCTCCAGGTGAGGTTTGCTCAGAGGGATCCCCACGGTGACACCCATTTCCATGTACCCACAGGTACCACGAAGTCCCCAGAGATGGACACCCCCGACAGCCTGGTGATGTCACCACCACTGTCCCCGTCACTCGGCCTGGACTGGCCCTGGGGGCTGCCCCCCGCACCCCACCCGGGTACCCAGAAACCCTACAAATGCACCGAGTGTGGCAAGGCCTTCGGGCAGAGCTCGCACCTGATGAGGCACCTGGGCACCCACACTGGCGAGAAGCCCTACAAGTGTGGGGCCTGTGCCAAGACCTTCACCCAAAACTCCAACCTCCTGCAGCACCAACGCACCCACACCGGGAAGAAACCCTACGAGTGCGGTGCTTGCGGCAAACGTTTTGGCTGGACCTCCAACCTCAGCCGGCACCACCGTCTCCACAGCGGCCAGAAGCCTTTCCAATGTGGCCAGTGCGGCAAATGCTTCGGCGAGAGCGCCCATCTCCTTGAACACCAACGCACCCACACCGGTGAGAAGCCCTACCACTGCCCCGACTGTCCCAACACCTTCAGCCGCAGCTACCACCTCGCTCGCCACTGCCGCCTCCACGCAGCTGAGCGGGGGCCTGGTCCAGCCCTGGTGATGCAGCGGGGGCTCTGAGGGGCTCCCCAGGGAGAGGGGAGAAGGTGGTGGAGCAGGCGATGGTGCTTCTCTGGTGGCCATGGGGATGTGGTTTGACCTGCTGGTGCTCATCATCAACCGAAGGATCCGTGAGATGGTCAATGGCTGCTACAACCCTTCTGTGGTGGCCACAGGGATGTGGTTTGGCCTCCTTGGTGCCCATCATCACCAGAAGCATTCGTGGAGAACCCATGACATGGTCAATGGCTGCTGCAACCCTTCCCTGGTGGCCACGGGGACGTGGTTTGGCCGCATTGGCGCCCACCATAAACAGAAGGAGTCATGACATGGTGAGTGGCTGCTGCAACCCTTCTGTGGTGGCCACGGGGACGTGGTTTGGCCCCGTTGGTGCCCATCATCACCAGAAGGAGTCATGACGTGGTTGATGGCTGCTACAACCCTTCCCTGGTTGCCACAGAGATGTGGTTTGGCCCTGTTGGCACCCATCATCAACAGAACGATCTGTGACATGGTCAGTGGCTGCTCCAATCCTTCTGTGGTGGCCACGGGGATGTGGTTTGACCCTGTTGGTGCCCACCATCAACAGAAGAACCCATGACATAGTCAATGGCTGCTACAACCCTTCTGTGGTGGCCACGGGGATGTGGTTTGACCCTGTTGGTGCCCACCATCAACAGAAGAACCCATGACATAGTCAATGGCTGCTACAACCCTTCTGTGGTGGCCACGGGGATGTGGTTTGACCCTGTTGGTGCCCACCATCAACAGAAGAACCCATGACATAGTCAATGGCTGCTACAACCCTTCTGTGGTGGCCACGGGGATGTGGTTTGACCCTGTTGGTGCCCACCATCAACAGAAGAACCCATGACATAGTCAATGGCTGCTACAACCCTTCTGTGGTGGCCACGGGGATGTGGTTTGACCCTGTTGGTGCCCACCATCAACAGAAGAACCCATGACATAGTCAATGGCTGCTACAACCCTTCTGTGGTGGCCACGGGGATGTGGTTTGACCCTGTTGGTGCCCACCATCAACAGAAGAACCCATGACATAGTCAATGGCTGCTACAACCCTTCTGTGGTGGCCACGGGGATGTGGTTTGACCCTGTTGGTGCCCACCATCAACAGAAGAACCCATGACATAGTCAATGGCTGCTACAACCCTTCTGTGGTGGCCACGGGGACATGGTTTGGCCCTGCTGGTGACCATCATTACCAGAAGGTTTCATGGAGGATCTGTGACATGGTCAGTGGCTGCGACAAACCTGTGGTGGCCACGAGGACATGGTCCGGCTCTAAAAATGCCCATTTTTGGCTTGTGGTGAACCCACGTAGGCAGAAAACCACGGGACTGGGGACAAACATGGACACAGAGACTTGGGGAGGACTCATGAGGTGGCCAACGGCTACCCCAGCCCTTCTGTGGTAGCCATGGGGCTGTGGTTTGGCCTTTTTAGTGCACATCACCAATGCAAAGACGTATGAAGGGTCCATGACTTGGCCAGTGGCTAACCCATCCATGGTGGCCACAGGGATGCAGTTTGGTCCCATTGGCACCTACCATCATCACAAAGATCTGAGGAGGTCCCACGACGTGGCCAACGGCTACCTTGCCCCTTCCGTGGTGGCCACGTGCCCACGGTTGGCGTCCACCATTCAGTTGGTGAGAGGTCACGTGGGGAAGCAGTGAGGAGGGGGGGAATTTTTAGGGGAAAAAAATGGCAATAACGGCACTAAAATGATCCTAAAACCCACGTGTTGATTTCCACCACCCACCAGCACCACCAAGTCCATTTAACTTCCCCCACCGCCACCATCTGGGTGGGACAGAAACCGTGTCACTGGGAGGGGACAAGCGACCCCCATGTCCCTCCATCTGCCCATCCAGGACACCAAATCCATGGCTGGGGTGGGGTCAAAGTCCTCCAGGTTTCGCCTTGAGGTGCTCAAACAGCCCCGTGGGCTCATCCACGGACACAGGGGAGCCCCAGAGCCACCCCCGGGGCAGTTTAGGGGTGACAGACACCCCTCTGGGGCACCCTCACACTGTGTGAGTGGGACCGGCACCCGCAGCCTCGGCACCCGGCCACGTTGCCAGCCCAGGTTCAGGTGGCGGTGGCCCCGGCGGTGGCCCTGGCGGTGGCACGGGGTGGGTGGCAGCAGCGTGGCGCTCCAGGAGGGTGCGGTGGGAGAAGCCCTTGGTGCAGAGGCGACACTGGAAGCGCTCGGGGCGGTGGGTGCGCATGTGGACGTTGAGGGAGCTCTTCTGGGTGAAGCGTTTGCAGCAGACACCGCACTGGAAGGCGCGGACGCCCGTGTGGGTCACCATGTGCTTCAGCAGGTAGTCACGGAGGGAGAAGGAGCGCCAGCAGATGGAGCATTGGTGGGGCTTCTCGCCTACAGAAACAACCGTGGGTCAACGTGGATCAAAATGAGTCAACACAAATCAGCACGGGGCAGCACGGATCAATATGGATCAATATGGGTCAACACGGGTCAACATGGATCAGTAAAGCTCAGCATGGATCAATATGGGTCAACGTGGATCAATGTGGGTCAATGTGGATCAATATGGGTCAATATGGATCAATATGGGTCAGCATGGATCAATATGGGTCAATGTGGATCAATGTGGGTCAATATGGATCAATATGGGTCAGCATGGATCAATATGGGTCAACGTGGATCAATGTGGGTCAGTGTGCATCAGTATGGGTCAACACAAAACACGGGTGAAGATGGATCAATATGGGTCAATGTGGACCAATATGGGTCAACACAGATCAACTGGGTCAGCATGGATCAATATGGGTCAACGTGGATCAATGTGGGTCAGTGTGCATCAGTATGGGTCAACACAAAACACGGGTGAAGATGGATCAATATGGGTCAATGTGGACCAATATGGGTCAATACAAATCAACATGGGTCAGCATGGATCAATAGGGGTCAACATGGGTCAACATGGATCAGTAAAGCTCAGCATGGATCAATATGGGTCAACATGGATCAATATGGGTCAACATGGATCAATATGGGTCAACATGGATCAATATGGGTCAATGTGGATCAATATGGGTCAATATGGATCAATATGGGTCAATATGGATCAATATGGGTCAGCATGGATCAATATGGGTCAATGTGGATCAATGTGGGTCAACACAGATCAACACAGGTCAACATGGATCAATGTGGGTCAGTGTGGACCAGTATGGCTCAACACGGATCAACACGGGTCAGCATGGATCAGTAAAGCTCAGCATGGATCAAT